AACCTCCACACGGCCCCCCGCTGCAAGCTGACTGCTACACAGCCTACCTGCCAAGGCACTCGCGGCTTCGGAGGGCCGTGCAAAGGTTCCGGCCGGGCCCCAGGCAGCCGCCTCTACCGCCGACCGACCCTCGGGTCGCCGTGTCCCCCGCCGTCGCCGCTGCCGTACAGCCGTGCCCCGGCGCTATCCGGTAGGGGCATGTGGCGGTTGTGTGCCCCACCCCCTTACAAAGGTAGCAGGGCCCTATGGGAGGGGGTGGGGTGGGGTGGGGTGGGGTTTCGAAGGAATGCGTGTGTGAGTTTGGTTGGTGGGTGGGTGCAGTGAGGCAGTGAGTTACAATGCCCCCCCTTTCCCCCTCCCCCTCCTCTTCCCCCCCACACACATACGCATGTTGGGAAGTGAATATACACTCATACAATACCAGTGAATGGTGTCAGCAGTAATAGGACCCGGGAGGGATCCGTGGCGCTTTGCTGGTTCTAACAGCGCACACACACACGCACACACACACACACACGCACATACCGGCTCGTTGCATTTCACTTTGCGGGGCCCCTCACCGCCTTATTCCCCCTCGTCCTCTACACGACGGACCAGAGGTGAATTGGGTTGGGGCGGCCCTTCCCGCAGCCCCTTTTTCATTATTGCTTTCCGCAGATGTCCCCTGAAAACGGAACCCGGCTGCTTTCTCTCCCCCCTTGGGGCCTTATACTCGCGGAACGACCCATTCCCCCGCTTCCCCGTTTCTGGACGAGCAGGACGAGCAGGACGAGCACGACTCACTGTTGGGGCAGTCCAGGTAGGTGGCACCCACGAACCCCGCCTTGTGGCCCCGCTTGCCGCACACCTGCAGGGGGAGGGGGGGGGCAGGGTGGAGGAAAGGATGGTGTACAAAAAGCTAAAAGGATCGAATGCCGACGCCCAAAGTACATAACTGCTGCTGGTTCGGGGTTGGTTTGGGGTGGGTGAACGGATGGAGGGTGGGTTGTGGTCGTACACGCCGTGATCGGGGCAAATGGGGCACCAAACCAGTCCGCGTGCACTCCAGAGCGGAGCAGCTGTACTGCAGGATTGGTAGTAGGCATGTACGGGCGGGGCCGCAGGGAGCCCCACAGGGCTGAAGCTGTCCTAGGGGGTAAGGGAGGGCTGCGGAGCACCACCGAATGTGCTTACGGCGCAGAATCCCGTGGAACGTAAACTACTGCTAGCATCTTACAGATGTACATAACAATTGCAAACCCAAACTCTGGTCTTCTTCATATTTTTTTCATTATTAGCAGGACTTATTTAGGTTCAAGCCATGATACAGATGCCCCCACACGAGGCACACGGAAGTGCACCGCGAAATGTCAGGACTTCCGCGCATACATTTGGCAACCGCCAGGGAAGCCTTCCACATCAGCATTGCTTTATAACGACGTCGTGGTTACACTATTGCAGTTTATGCGGCTGGAGTTCATATCATTTCTTCACGGACCCAGGGGCCAGCCAGCAGCCAGCACCACTCACTTTGCAAACCTCATTTTTGCCGCTCAAAGATACTGTGAGGCGCCCTGGCGCCCCAGGTTGACGACCGCTGGTAGCTTGCGCTGTTTCCGATGCCCGTGCTGTAACTTGCGCTGTTTTGCCTGCCTTGCTGCCTACGCGAGCATCGCCACTTCCGTTGGCACCTTCCCGCGCATCGTCCTCTTCCTCTTCGTCACCACTTTCTTCTTCCTCTATTACATCTTCTTCCTCTTCACTAGTGCTCGACTCCTCGATGCGCTCCTCTTCGTCATCGTCAAGCGGAACATTGTGCTTCACTACACGCGGCATACAGTCGATATTTCATTCAAGGACTTAAGATGGGGGTAATATCCAATTATCCGAAGTACAGCAAGGCAAAGCCGCAGCTAATAAGGAGCGTAGGCTGTGATGCTACCTGTTTCTGTTGTAATTTGCACGGCGGCAAGTGCAGGTTCTAACTAACGGCTCCTCAAACACGCTACCTTGTAGCTTGCTTCACCTGTCTTGTAATACATATAGCTACGTAGCCTCGCAAGATTTTCGCCGTGGTCTTCGTTCTGTGTTACTACCAATACCTTGTTGCTGTTGAACACGTCCAGTTGCTTTATAAAAAGCTGCCATCTGCAACATGGATGACACAAACGCTTTGTTTCACCAGTATGAAAACGAGTACTGTAACAAGAGCACGGACATTTCTCGGAAAATCAACTCTGCAATCACTCTCAGCGGAGGTGCGCAGGGTTCAACTCTTATGCCTTATCCACCAGCACCCTTAAAATCAGAAGCTTTGGGCTTGTCGGTCATGAGGGAGGAAGAATATGCTGGGCTGCAACTTTCTTGCAGAGACCAAGCGCAAGAAGCTGGTAGAAGTGGACGCAGACATTAAAGAAGCCGACAACATTGTAAGTAAATTGTATGATGCATTTGGATTGTTGCTGCGTGCCTTTTTGCGAACAGGGTGTTCGCTGTGTTATTGGTGGTTACCTTGAACGCCTCTTCCCCCCTGAGCCATTTGCCTTCCCCTGTGCCGCCCCCCAACCCACCTAAACGGTTCGCTCTAGATCAAAAAAATGGACATGGAAGCTCGCTCTGTAGCTCCGGAACGGTCAAAGCAGCTCCAGAACAAGGTCAAGGAGTACAAAGCAGACCTTGCATCTCTTAGAGAGCAGTTGACCAAGGCCAGGACAGCAGCCGGGAGCGAGTACGACGCCGCCCGAGCGGAGCTGGTGGGTCGCCCCTCTGGGGACTGCAGTGGATGTGGGGGGCGAGACACCACCTTTTCCACACTGCATTGTGCACCGCAACATCCAGTGGTTGCACTCGCAAGAGCAGTTGCAACAGAAGTCGCAGAAGCTGTGCAACCCACATCGCAGCCTCGCACCGGCGCTTCACTCACACTTGGTTAGGCAGCTAGCTCACGCAACGCCGGGAGAACGCGTTGCCTGAACAACAATGCAGCACCTCCCGTCCCAACAGCTGCCGCATAGATCACACTATGTGGCGCATACCATAAAACACCTTATCTGATACGGCGCGCCTGTCTCCTTGCGTTGCTTTACTCCTTGCCTGACTGCTGCTAGCACCTTTTTCTTTACATTAAAGTCCCAAAACATTTCGCAGGGGCTGGGCATCGACTACGCGTCCTCTTCCCAGGCGCAACGCGACCGCATGCTGTCCGCCTCTGCTAAATTGGAGCAGTCCAACGACCGGCTGCAAACCGGAAAGAAGTTGCTGGCCGAAACAGAGGTGCGGGGACAGGGCGGGTAAAAGAAGGGAGCAGAAGGGGGAAGGCTGGACGGGAAGCAGCAGGACGCGGGCAGGCAAAGTCCGGAAGCGGCAGAGGTGCAGCTGCAGAGAGCGCTGAGTCTTGTTGTCGGCGAGCGGGTCAGCAAGGGCCCTGATGGCGCCGGAGGAGGGCGCGGCAGTGTAGCGCACAGCCCGTAGGACCAAGCCAGGGGGTATCCATAGCGGCGTGACGTTCGGCACCCGGCTTCTATCGCCATCCCGACGGTCCCTGGCGCATTCTGCTTGGGTTGCCAGGTTCAGGCAGCTATTTGTAAACACACGTAACTGTCGGGCACTTAGCGGTTTAACGCTATGGCTGGGCTTCAGGCTATGGTGTGGAGGCCTGGGGCAGCGGGCGGGAGGACATGGCCTTGCATGATGGGAGAGCTGGACCTTGCCGTTGTTGGACGGTCCAGGGCCAGGCATGGACGATTTGGCATTGCCATGGCGGCGCGGTTGGCGCGTGAATGTTGCGCGTTTGCGTGGGTAACCATATTTATGCATGTACGTCTTGTGTGCGCGATGCATGTGAAGCCATGTGACGTCACGACCCGAATACGGGGCCTCATGCCCGTCGTCGCCGCCGCTTGGTGTCCCGGGCGCCCGTAGGGGCTTGGGGCATCGGTTCTGGCGGCGCTGCAGGAGCAGCGGGCCACCATTCAGCACGCCCAGGACACTCTCCGCACAGCCAACGGTGACCTGAACCGCGCCGACGCATCACTCAAAACCATGAACCGTCGGACACGCTGGTTCTTTTGAGCTGCGCTCCTGGGCCCGGGGCGAGGCCATGGGGCCCGCGCTGCCTCCTTCCCAGCCTCAGGGTCGTGCCCGGCGCTGCAAGCCGCTGGGAACGGCGATGGCTGGGGAGGGACTGCCTTGTGTTAAGGAGTAAGCGGCGTACGACGTGGGAAGGCTGCTGCCTCCCTCGGGGTGTGCGCGAATCTTTGGCTTCTTTGAATGGCCACACCCGTTCGAGAAGATCGAGCTTGCGGCGGGTTGAAGCCGCTCCGGAACCGTGCCCTGGCGATTTTCTTGCGTTATGGCACTGACTCGCATATAGCCAATAGCTGCATTTTAAATTTCCCCGTGCGGACTGCGGAGCGGTAATATGGGGGCGTCTCGCAATGCGATATGGAAAGCTGGGACCTCGGGGACCCAAGCACCCATGTTTATTGCCTTCAAAATTGTTGCAGCCGCTGCATGATGCCGTCGCCATGCTGCGGCGGTCGCTCTGTTTTCATTTGCTGTCATCAGTGGTCTTTCCCATAGTAGCGAGCCCTCCATTTATATTTTTTCCCTTTCTCCCCCCTTGGTGTTTAACGCTCGCAGCGACCCCTTTCTGCACTATCTATGCATGAAACAACTCGCCTACGTGGCGTGTATCGCTATTATCTCCAGCCTCCAGGGCCCTTTGTCTTCGCGTTTGGTTTAGATCTCATGTCACTTGCTGACACGTTTACCCCTGCCCAAACATCCTTTATAGCTTTGTTCTTTCCTAATGTTTAAATGCCACAAGCCAGCGGGGGTGGCTCCCATCTCATGTGGTTGCATTCCTATGCCTTCTTGAACCGGCCCTCAGGAGCTGGGCAGCGGCATCCTGGCTAACCTGGCCGCACAGCGCGAGGTCATTATCCACTCCCGCGACACGCTCCACGGCGCCGACGATAACATCAGCAAGGCGCGAAAGATCTTGTCCAACATGAGTCGCCGCATGTTGCAGAACAAGCTTATCATGTTCGGTATTATCGGCTTCCTGCTGGCGGGTATCATCATCATCATCTACTTCAAAGTCAAATAAGGGTACCTAGACAGCCAAGTGAAGGGCAGGCGGGGGGCAGGCGCCGCTCCGGCGGTTGTGGCCTCGCTGTTTGTTGAGTATCGCAGGTCTTCCTTTCCGGGCACTCGTCAAAGAGGACGGCGATTGTGAGAAGATTTCGAGATGGAGTGGGCGGTGGATGACATGGAAGCCGATGAGGCGTGAGTTTGAGTGGCGCAGCAAAGGCGCTCACGAATGTCACGTCCACTACAGATGACACTGTCTAGCTTGGCAGCTGGGCACACATCCGGACGGACGACCTAACGAGACGAACGAGCTTTAAAAAAGAGAGTCTGGAATCCATGGTTAGAGCGGTCCACGGCATCAGCGACGGCAACATAAATGGGGTCACGTGCACATGCTTCCAGTTAGCGTCCTCCGGGGACCCCGCAATTCAATAAGTACCCTCTACAGACACGTTGGCGCCTGCTGGTAGGGCATTGGCTGCGCTAGGGTGGAGCGAAAACGATCTGCCGGGCCTGAAAGTTGCTGAAAAGGGAGGGAGAGGCTGTGCTGTATCCTCGTATGGGCACTGGGTGTACGAATATTTGAAAAGTGCTAGTGTATATGCCTGGCTTTGTTGGGTATGGGTGTGCTTGGTATATCCGGCAAGGTTATTGGGTGCTACTAGACTGTGCTGACATTGGATGTGAAGCGTACCTGGTGGTGGTCATTACTGGCGCCTTCTTGTTCGCAGCCCCGTGAGGGGTGGCATGGCGTTTAAGCAATATCTCGTTCTAACGGGAAGCTACACCCTGGATAGCCTCACGGCATGGCTGATGGAACACCTATGTAAAAGGGGGTGGCGAGGGGACTGCGGCGATATTTCCATTCCGCACGTCGGAGACCCTCAGACAAGACGTCACTCAACCACGTTAACTGGACTGCAGAGAGGACGGTATAATCCTCAAATGCCATTCAAAGCTTTATGTGGTGCTGACGTAAGATAATTTACTATCAACACGTGCTTGATGGGCTGTGCACCGCATCTGCACACACGCTACCACCGGTCTTCTGGTATGGACCTTCGGGACCCCAGCGAAACAAACAAAATCCTCGGGAGTTGAGGGCACCTCTAAAGTAACTGTCACTGTGATAATTCCATCTGATTCCGGTTAGATGTCTACATGTACATGTCACTTGTACGTCGCACAACATATCCAGCTACTAGCAGTATACAACTGCACGCAAGATACTGCTCATCTTCCCCTGGCGAGGACCAATTTCCCGTCAATGCGGCTCCTGAAGCCCTACAATTCCCTACCCGCTCCACATGCCCAATGGGTCAAATCTTAAGACCACAGCCCCAAGAGTTCCTATGTCGACTAATCATGGTCATCAATTTCTTTTTCCCATCTCTATGCACAGGTTGCCTTAAAGACAAGATAACCCTGACACGTCCACTGTCTGTTGTTGCCGCGCCCCAACCCAACCCGCGTTGGTCCGGTATCATAGCAACCCTAGCGATGTCTGCAGTGCAGTCCTCACTATCTGCGGCCCCACCCCGCGGCGCATCCCAAAAACTCCTCCCCAGCCCCGTTCGCCGCTCCAAACTATCCCTAAATCCCCAATTCACGTGATCCCCCTCAAGTGCCTTGGAATGGAAGCAGCGCCACCCTCTCCGTTCAGCTACGCGCACAGTACATCTTGAGCGTGCGGACCATCAGATCGATGCCCTCCAGCGGCTGCTGCTGTGGCTGCTGCCCTGCCAGCCCCAGAGGGTCCTGCACACCCCATGCGCCCGGGGCCCCCCCACGCGGGCCGCCGCCTCCACCAGCCCCTAGCAGCTGCTGCCCGCCGGAGGCACTGGCCACATCTGCCGACGCCTCCGCCAGCCTCGTCAGTAACTCCTCTGACCGTAAGTTAGTGTCCTGCAGCAACGTCATAAGGTATTGCAGCTCCTCCGGGCTGCCGAGTAACGCCGCGTCCGCCTCCGTCGGCGACGGCATTGCCGCCGTCAGGTCTAGGTTCGCCGTTGCCTGATCCAGTAGCTCATCCGTGTCCATGGCCATGTCAATGGCGCCAGCGGTGGCCTTGCCATTAACCAGAAGTGGTGACAGTGCCGGAAGCGGCCGGGGCAAAAAGCGCAGGAAATGAATTACGACCGTGCTAAGCGCGGCCTCCAGAATAAATAATGCGCGGGAGAGCTGGCGATCGAGTGACGTTGCCGCCAACGCCCAAAAGTGCCGTGCCAGGCGCCGCCGCGCCGCAAGGCCACCGGCAGAGGAGCCCGCTGCCAGAGCCGCCGCTACCGTTGCCGAGCCCGCCGGCGCGTACGCCAGCAGCCGGTCCGTGACAGCCTGTTCGTCCAACTGAGCATCCGGCAACCGCAGCAGCGCCAGCAGCTCGGACAGCTCGTCCAACGAAGCGGAGGCATCACGGCAGGCCTGTTGAGCCATGTCGCGAATTAGAAGAAGCGTGGGGCGGCCAGTAAGGGGGTCCAGCTCACGGCGCTCTGCTGCGCCAACTGCGCGCAGCATACCCGGCGGCAACGCTGCCGGCGCTGTCGCAGCATATCCACCGCTGGGGCCGCTGGCAGATGCCTGCGGTCCTGTAACAGCAGTCGCCGCCATGTCGCGCAGTAGCCGTGCCAGGCTACACCGAACGGACTGCACCCGCGCTCCACGGTTACAGGCCACACTACGCGCCCCTGCCCCTTTGACACCGCCTGTCGTCGTCGCCAGCGCCCCAGGACCCGGCGGTGTCACCGGCACGATGGCGCCGGCGGCGACGCCATTGCCGCCAACACCATTGGCGGGCCTGGCCACCAACGCACCAGCTGCTGGCATCGTGTAATGCCAGGCACGTAGCGCTTGAATGATAGGGCTACTGGACCGCTCCTCAAGGCAGCAGAACTGAAACGCGAGCTTGAAAGCCATGGCCTTGAGCCCCTCCGCCACCAGCGGCTGCAAGGATGGCAGAGATGGCACCAACCGCACCAGCAGACCTAGGGCTAGGTCCGCTAACTCCAGCTCCGTGTCTCCAGGTGCCCAGCCGCGGGCGCCTGCAACACAGATGGGGCGTGGCGGTGCTGTGGCTATCAGTTTTAGAAAGCGGTTGTTAACACCTAATGATAAAAAGCCATGGGCGGAAGGGCAAAAGCAGGTATGCCGACAGGCCCCGATGAAACGCAACAGAGAATTGGGCAGGGATGTGACCTGGGAATGGTTTGTTTCGCAGGTTCCAAGCTCTTGAGGCTTAACACAGCGGCAAAGAGCAGGGCATCATGGAATGAAGATTGCTGGACGGGTGCGTTCCCACAGTCGTGCCCGAATGCGAGGACGAAACAGAGGGATATCAGGCGCGAAGTCAAAGGGCGACAGCGAAGGAGTGTGAAACTGGAGAGCAGAAACTGGAAGCGTTGCCTGACTGCCAATTCCGCTAAAGAAGAGGTGAGGACAAACCGGGCCGTCTCACCTACGCCCGCCGCATCCGATATGAGCCGGCACAGCAGCTGGTGGTGCCCGGACGCGAAAGCCGCCGCGTCTGCCCGCACCGCCGCACTGTCAGGCAGCGCCGCAAGCACTGTCAGCAGCAGCCGCAGCAGCGGCGCCGTTAGCGCGTTGAGGCGGAAGCGAACCGAGTCCGGGGAGATGACCGCGGAGGGGAAGGCCATGCCGGCACGCAGGGGCGTGGAGGCTGGGTCGTCGGGGACCAAGTCCAGGGCAGCACACCTACGGATGGCGTATGGCCGCGCCTTGAGTGTGCGGGAAAAACCAAAGAGTGATGGACAACTGGCAGTTGGAAATACCAGTGGTCGACGAGCAGGAAGATGCTGTAAGCTAAAGAGACAACTAACTCCGTGCTTGCCCAAACTGTTGCGTTACTTCGTAAATTGCACTGAAGCTATAGAACATTCCGATGCAACAGCGCCGCGTAGGCAACACATTATCACACGCTCTCCACGCTGGGGCTGGACAAGCAAAGGGACAGGACGCTGCAGCGGTTTTGAGCAGTGTAGGGCATTGGCAGTGGGCTTGGCATTCGCGCACTCCGTCAACCCGCAAGCTGGGGGTAAGCCGAGCGGAGGCTGTGACAAGAGGATATTTGACCACTTCAACCACCACTACAAGCAAAACTCCTCCATGTCCCCGTCACGTCCCACCAGCCACGCACAACACCTCACATGGCCCATGTAAACCCATCCGCGCTGCCGCCCCCATCCTCAACCACGTCCTCACCGGTTGAGTGCCATAACGCAGTTGAGCGAGTACAGCTGCTGCGCGGCCGCCGCGCGTGCCATCGGTGGCCCCGACACTGCCAGCCCAGCCAGCAGCGCCAACGCTGCCTCCAGCACGTGCACCGTCCGCCGCGCCCGCTTGCCGCCAGCCGTCAGCGTCGCTGCCGGCAGTGCCGCGATCTGTGACAACAACTGCTGCGGTACGCCCTGCCGGTACGCGGCTGCAGCCACAGCAGCACCCGCCGCTCCGCCGGCTGCCGAGTCGACTGCGAGCAGCGCTCTCAACAGGTGCAGAGCCACGGCCTGGCCCAGCGGCGGTGCGCTGCCGCTGAGCGCATCCGCAGCCAGCGCCTCCACGAGTGCAGCACCGTGGGCTGAGACGACAGCTGCGTTGGCCCGCTCGATCAGCTCCTCTGACTGCGATGCGCAGCAGAGCACGCCAGGGGTGAACCATACCACATACGATGTGGACGTGGGAAGCATGAGGGAATGAATGGGCGTGTCGTGGCCGTGCACCCTGAAGCCGCTGGGGTGCGATGCGAGGTGCAGGTTGGCATGTCAAGTACTCTCAGACCTCAACCCTCTTTCTCACAACCAGCCAACGTCTGAACGCACCTGGTCAATCACCGCCACCGCCACCGCCTCTGCCGAGGCGCCCCATCCCTGGAGCAGCGCCGCCAACACCGTGGGCGCACAGCTGGTAGCCAGCTTAGACCCGTGGCTGAGCTGCAGGTACTGAAGTGTGGCGGCGTACAGCTGCAAGCGCACCGCAGGGGCGCGGCGCGCGTGAGCTCGCAGAATGAGGTCCACAAGCAACCTCAGCAGCGCTTGGCAGCGGGCAGGTACCCGCACGGAGGCCAGCGGGTCGGCGGCCTGGCCCAGGCTAACGTGGAGGATGGCTTGTTCCTGTGGTGGCGCGGGCGAGGGGCCCAGACGTGGGTCAGGGCTCCGGAGAGCGCGCGGAGGTCATATAGCCGCGCTGTTCACCCACCTGCAACCTGCTTTGGTCCTTCCGCATTACCCGCCAGCCAGCCCTGCCCCCCAAGATAACGCCCTTTGGTCTTGTCCCGGGTTCGTCCCCTTCCGCATCGTTCTATGAACCCCACAAACCCTTGCCAGGACATAAGGCATAGCCCTGTCTCCTGCATCCACCCACCTGCAGCTTGGACAGTAACACCCGGGCGGCAGAGCACAGTGGCCCCGCCGCCCTTTCCGCCGCCCCGTCCATACGCGACATGAGAGCCCGGACTGTCTCCAGTGACGCCGTCAACGTGTCATAAAGCGCCTCTGCCGCAGAACCCCGCAATAGCGTGTTCAGCAGCTCGTACTGGCGCGTGTAAACCACCTGCATCCAGCAGCCACACACGGCGGCGGCAGTCCGTCGTCACACTCGCGGTAACATTCAGCCGCACATGGGACACCTGGGCAACCCAATGGTGAACGCACAATGAAACTACAGGCCAGGTGTGGCAGCACTTACTCCCTGGCACCCACGCCTAGCCCCGGTGGCCACGTGGACCAGCTGCTCACCTGGACCAGCTGCTGCCACGCTTCTACCGTGGCCGCCTGCGCACCCGCCAGCAGCACATAGGCGTTGTGGCGCTGCGCGTAGCGCAGCGCAGCGCGACAGGCGTCCGCTGCCGCATCCGCCGCGCCGCCTACTGCGCCCCCCGCGCGCGCCGCAAAGGCGTCCAGCCGCTGGCGCAGCAGTGCAAACAGCGCGGAAATGTTGAAGATGATGTCGCCCGTGTCTGAGGTCATGGCCACGCCCGCCCCCTGCATCAGCGACGGGTTGGTTAGGAGCTGCTCCAGCCCCGCCTCGCCTGCACTCAGGTCCTGGTGCGAGAACGATAACAGAGGAGGGAAGCACACAGAAAACGAGAGGTTATTAAATAAGTAAATAAGAAAAAAAACACCCGTGCAAAATATCTCGGCAAATACCGAGGCAGATAGCAGGCGGCAGATAGCAGGCGGCAGATAGCAGGCGACGGCGTATTTCACGGGTTGAGTGGAAGGGGGCCGGCCAGAAGATAACAAATGCCGGCTGAAGCGGTAAAGGGGTCAGCAGGAGGGACAGGACAATACAAATTTGGCAATTTGGAAGGGAATACCTGGCATATGCCAGGAAGTCCAGTTCCAGCAGACCTGCAGTTGGGGACAGGGTCGGGCAAAAAGGCACCAAGGCAAGGTCACCAAGTTGGCCGCGGCTACTTCAGCCCTGCGCCGCGCTCGGTCGCACCTGCAGCATCCGGCGCTGCTCCTGGCTCAGGTCTGAAAGCTGCGGCTCCGGGAACGCCAGCGAAGAAGCCACACGCATCGTGTCTAGCAGCGTGCTGGTGCCGGCCACGGAACCGCCGCCCGCAGCCGCTGCCGCCATTGAGGCAGCGGAGGCGGAGGCGGGTCCGCCCAGCCCTGACGGCTCCGCAGTGATCGCGGGCTCACCCGGGGCCGCCAGCAGCTCCCCCAGCAATTGACGGGAGTTATCGTCGTGCTTCAACCGGAGCAACAACAGGCCCTGGGAAACAGTGGACAGGAGATGTAGTGTCTAATGTTATAATAGCACGTGTCGGAAAGTTTGCTTTGCATGGAACGGGTACAGTCATGGTGTAGGCAGCACATCCCAAGCCCTGTCCTGTGGGGCAAACACAACAGGCAAACATACCGCCAGAATGGATAACAGCACAAACATGGGCATCGTTTTCTTGAAGTGCTGCAGCCATTGTGGTGCCCGACCTTGAGGAAATTATTGCAGACATTCCCCCCGACCGCCCAGTCCGGGCCGACACGGCGACAACCGAGCCGGATGATACTGGCCAATGGCCCAGTCGTCCCACTCACCGTAATGCGCATGTACCAGGATCGGCTGTGCAGCGCTGCGGATAACTCCTGGGGTCGGAGCTCGGAGCCGTCCGGGCCGCCGCGGGTACCAGGCAGCTCCATGTTGAGCAGGCCGCGTAGGCTGGGAATAAGCGACTGCGAGGGGGGCGGGCATGCGGGTGCGGTGGGGCCCCCTCGGGAGGACTCGGGGGGACTCGGGAAAGTGCGCGCGGTCACTAGCGCGCGGTCATTGATGGTGGTACTTAGGGGCCAACCTGCGGGTCACTGGCGCCTCGGCATATAGAGCAGCAGCTGCCCTTCCCCCCAAGCTATAAGGCAAACTCACGTTGTTCTGGGGGCTGAGGTACTCGAGCAGCGGCACGCCGCCCACGGGTGCCGAGGCCATACGGTGCAGGAGGCAGATGCACTGGCTATACAGCTTGGGCTTGGCAATAGCCATTCTGCGGACAGTGGGTGTGCGGCAGGCGGGCGGGTAGGAATGCGAATGCAGGCAAAGAAGTGAGCCCCGGCACGGAAAGGCCGCCCTGACTCGCACAACCTCTCGCCGGCAATGAGGATGGGCCGGCCAAAGTACAATCCCAGTACACCCGTTCACGCGCGATACAGCTCCTAGCAGCAAGGCCGCCGCGGCTGCCGTCCACATCCCGTCCATTTCTCCTTCACATCGCCTTACATCTCAAGTTCCCATTTCCATCAGGTGCTCGCTGCTCCTCGTCCTGTATAACAACTTTATGACTAAATCTTCGCTTGCAGTAGACACCAGCCAGTGTGTGACATCACAAGTACCTCGTTCCATTGTCATGATGCGGTGCAACGCCGCAATCACAGCTGCTCCCCGCACACGGCACATACCTCAGCTGGTGCTGCACCAGTATCCGTTCCACAATGGTGAGGCAGCTGTACTCCTGTCGCGGCAGGAGCAGGCTCTCATCCAGCCGCCCGCTCATTGCGTGCTCCATGTCGTATCCCAGCAGCAAGTGCGAGACGGACGGGACCGGCAGCGACGGCGCCGCGTTCTGCAGCATCAACCGCAGCACCAGCGCCACACGCGGGTCGGGCGGGTCGGCGGAGAGGCCGTACGGGCCTACGAGGGCAGCAGACGGGTGAAGAGAAGAGTGAGAGAAAGTAAGCCGGTGCGGTCGAGGGTGGTAAGATGAAGGTAGGAAACTGGAGATGTCGGCCGTCTACTCATAACTCAGCCAACAAATTCAAACCTAACGCGGGCAGGAACTGCGCATCCGTCTCACCCTGTTGACGCTCTTGAGGCGAGTCCAAGTTGTCCAGCGCGTTAGGGCAGGCGGCGCCCTGGGCCATGGCCTGGGAGGAAGACAGGTTCAGGCATAGCAATATAGAGGTGGATGGACATGCGCAGCCAAGAGCAGACCGGAGCAATTCCACATTCCAGCAATGGCTCCGGCTAGGAGTTGGGAGGTGAGGCCCTTGTCCCATCGTAAAACTTTTGAGGCATGCGGCATGAGGGGTGAGAACCCAGGTGACCCGCGATTCATACCGATGGGTATCTACGTGAACAACAGGGTGCAAAGCACCCAGTGCAATGCAATGCACCCCAACGCAACGCAACGTGCAGCGGTCTCGGCCACAGCGTCCCACACCTGCGCAAAACCGCGACGCAGAGATCCAAGCACGTCGGAAAGATCCACTGCCGTGGCCGCCAGCGCAGCTGCCGTCGCCGCGGCCCCCACCGTGCCTCCCAACTCCGAGGCGGGCACGAAGGGCAACGCCCCCGCCACCACCGCCCCGTCAGCCCCTGCACCCGCGTCCGATAGCACCTCCACCAGGTTGGGCAGTCGACTGCTTAGCTCAATGGTCAAGCGAATGGCCTCCACCTGAACAACACGTTCAGCAAGGCCAACATAACGCACAAAGTTGTCAGTCGACAGACCTCCCCCAGTTTTTTCATGTCCGCAGTACAAAAGCAGCATCTCAGTTCGCACGGAGAAAACGGTGCTTGAAACATATACGCTGGTGCCGCCGTACGCTGGTGCCATACCTGGATGTCCGCATTGTCCGGATAGCAAACATATTGCAGCAGAATGGCCAGCTGCCGTACTCCACCAGACAGCAGCTTGAGGTGCAGCGGCTGATACCTGGGGGTGATTCCCGCACAAGAACGATAGAGGACCCGCAGAAGGGAAATTACGCTTGATTATGAGTGTATGATGAAGAAACACCGATCACATAGGGCCGGAATTTGTCAGAGAATTAAAGCCGAGAGCTGCGCGCACCAACAACCCAAATGGAGTGGGGAGGTAAGGAGGGACAAGCCTCAAGATTTTAAGCCTCTCGCCATTCAAGAAACCTCCGTTTCCGCACTCTTCTTCTATACTCAAAACCCCCTCCTCGACCCCCGCCCACACCTGTTGAGCAGGTTAAGTCGGGACAGGTTCTCCACAAAGCCCAGGTCCAGCCGCAACGCCGCGTTAATGACCCTGAGGGCCGCCAGTACTGCCGCCTCGCGAGGCCCCACCTCGTCTGTCTGGCTTTGCAGCGCCGTCAAGGAGGTGTAGCCGGGGGACAGGATGTGCAGCAGCGCCGCATAGGCGGGGCCACCACCTGCGAGAGGCCAGGGGACGGACCGGGATGCACTCGGATTAACCTTAATAAATTTCGTCAAGTTAGTTTACATCAATAAATGACAATTATAAGAAAACCAGTAATAGGGATTATTCTCCTTATTCATTACAATACTATTAGGGAATACGTGAAAACATCAATCCGAAAACTTCTAGCTGATACCTTGTCAAAAGCTCGCCCCCCGGGGTAATCGGAAGAGTCGGATCCCGAAGCGTCCATATCCTCCAACGGGGAGAAGGTCAACGGAAAACGAAGTAGAGGAGCGGGTTGGAGAGGACGTTGCCCTCTCAGGACCAGGGAGAAATCGCCCATGTTGGGGTAGGAGCCAATCCGTATGCTTGGCTATCTTTGAAGAACCGAGGGGCCTCACTCACCCAGCAGGTCGTGCATGATCAGGTAGCCCGGGGGGCACTTGGGGTTAGCCACGGCCTCACTGGCTGGCTGCGGCGGCGGCAGCGATCCACAGGTCGCCAGGTCAAGAACCTGTCGAGGGCAGGAGTGGGGGAAAGACAAACCACGAACGAGTGAAGCTGATGCCAAGGAGTGGGGGAAAAGGGAGGCCATGTCTCCACCAAACTCCAGTAACCCAGAGCGATGCCCATAGCATAGGCCTTAAAGCACCTCCGCGAGGAGCTCCCAACCAAGGGCCATCACATTGCCGGCGGCCAGCCAAAGGCACTTACAAATCAAAGCCCATATAAATCCATCCAAACAAAAGGCCTGCAACAGTTGCACTGCAAGGCCCCTTACACCAGAAAGCTCGCGGGGTGTTCATGCTCTGCCCCGCTTGCCATTCCTGTCGCCTCATAGCACACATTCCCTTCCATGATCGCACACCCATCGTCACTCCCTTTCACGACGGACCACCCACATGTTCCAAGTGCGTGAAGGCGGCAGCGGCCACTTCCCACTTCTGCCGAGCAACGCGGTAGCCGCGGCTCCACAGGTGGCCCAGCACGTGCTGCGGGAGGTGGAGATAAGGACCGGGCATCGTTAGCACCAGGCATGCAAATCTCTAGAAAGGCCGGAAGGTCCACGAGGCAAGGCTGGGAATCAGCCTTCACCCCAGGCAACGCAACCCCACGCATTCCGACACCTCAGCGCTCTTTACTGCACCAGCACCATGAGGTTGTCCCCCGACATCGCATTTCACCCACCGCACACCACGAGAGCAAAGGTTTCCCGGAAATCCAATGCACAAACGCCCCTTGTACCATAACAGATGCACGCCGGCGTATGCCCTCCACCGCAGCACACCGGTTCTCTCCCGCACCTGCTGCACAAACGTGGTGAAGTTGGTCACGTCGGCCCCTCCATCCGGCAGGCCGCCACAGCCTATGCCGCCTCCTGGCTGCTGCGAGCTGCCCTGAGCCAGAAGCGGCCCCAGCAGCGCGTTGAGCAGGCGGATAAGCGCAAGCGTCTCGGGGTACTCCTCCCGTCGAGCTTCAATCTCGTTCAGCTGCTGCACAATGTCCAGTCGCGGCACGGCTGCACCCACCCGGAGGGATATGGAGGTGGCGACCGGTTTAATTAGTTTTGAGCAATGGCAATAACGGCGGTTGCAGGAGCCCCTTTTTAGGCGTGTGGCGCCGGTGGCGGCCGGCACAGACTTGGTTTCCTGCCTCTCAAGCGAGAGCCTCTCAAGCGACACCCAATTTCAGAGGGATTGTGTGCCAAGCGGCTACGATGAATTTTAAATTCCATAGGCAGCGAGTAAGCAGGGCAGCTACAAATGCCACGGGTGCCTACTCACTGGGCAGCACTGCGCTGGCTGGCCGCACAATGGTGCACTGCAGCAGTCGCGCCAACAACCTGGCGGCCATGTCGGGCATGGCAGCGGCCAGCGCACCGAGCACCTCATCCAAGGCGGCCTAGCGGGGCGGGAGAGGGCGACGAAAGGAGGCGAGTTGTTGAACAACGGTAACACCGCGAAAGGGGAAAGGATCATGAAGGTGGTGATGTAGGTGATGTAGGTTCATCAGAGGATATTGGCACGAAGGTGGGGGGATTAGACCACATGCGCACGGAGTGGGACAAAAACGATGGTATGCCATGGGTAGGGATGCAACCACGCATATGCGCGCGGGGGCAGACAGACAACAGGACAAGAGGCTGTAGATGTTGGGGAAGGAGATGACACAGAGGACTAGTCAATTTGTGGATTGTGGGCCAAGTGTATACTGGATGGATGGATGTGCATGCATGCGGCAACGGATTGAGCCAGCAACTCGCATTCCATCATAACTCGCAACCGTCTCACCTTGACATTGTTTTGGACGGGGTAGCACATGAGCTGGAAAAGAGGTTCCTGTGGAGGTGGAGGAGAACGGAAACAGCACGCGACGGGAGCGCGGGGCAGCCAAGAAGATGGGCACAAGGAAATTGGTAATAATGACATAAAAACCGCACCAGCAAGCCCAGAATCAGGTTTTGCTTTGGACTATCAACCGGACCAACCAGTTGGCAAACACGCTCCTTGGGTTCAAATTGTCTAAGGGGGTCAGGCATCATGGCTCCTGACCTGCAGCGGGTAGCCGTTCAACGAGGGCGCCAGCTCCGCAGAGGTAGAGGACCAGAAGGCAAGGACCTCTGCTGGCCGACCGAACGCCAGCACGCGCCTGCATGACATGGGGCGCGAATAACTGGTAAGTACAATAGAACCGCAGGGGTGGCGGAAGATGAATGTGTATGGGTGTGGCAAAGCACTGCGAGCTCGCGAACACAATACGTATTGTAGTACGTGCTTCGCGCCTTCAGGTACAGAGCGATTTCCCCTGGGATTGCCATGGCGGCCCGAAAAGGTGCCCTGCCAATGAAAGGGCTGGGGTTGAAAAGGAAAATCCAGGAAAAAGCCGATTGGTTTCAGGAGCAGGACCTATGCGTATGTATGTGTGTGGGGGTTATGTGAGCGCACCATGCCGTAACAATGCCGGCATTAAGCGTCAAGGGCATTGCAAAACCCGCTTCAGCCCAAAATCACCGTCCCAAGAAACGGCAGTTGTTCGCCCGAATGATCAGATGCGCGCGCCCCTCCATGAAATTCCAGGTCCAACCCCCTAGGGCTCGTTCCGTGAATCCTTTCCCATCTTGTCCCACTCCAACTTCCCAGCCCAGCCCAGGCCCTACTTGAGCAGCTTGAGGAAGGCCACCAGGATGTCGGCCTCGTACGGGTTCATGATGGACTCATACTGCGCCAAGGAAGATCCCTGGGATGGGGAGAATATGCGCCAAATCCATGGAATTATATAATAATAAGTCAGGGGAGAAAGGGGAAGCTGGATAGACACCAGGTGGGAACCTAGAGAGGCGTTTACGTGCTTTACCGGCCGGAAGAAGGCTCCGTAAACCATGACCACACTACCATGCTTCCTGGCGAGCTGATTCCGGTACATGCACAAGGCTATTACTCACAAGGCAACAGTTGGCAGCAAGGCTCCTCCATATACGGCTCAAATACACTTAAGTCAAGCCCGTGCCGTTAATGAATGGTAATTATTACGGGCTCCAAGCGACGGGACTCACCACGGCCGTTCTCTATGCTTTAAAATAAAATCCAAGAAAAATTACAAGCTTTCATCCTTACTATTTTCAGCCCTACCCACCTGCAGCGCCGCGCCCATGCCGCCCTGCATTTGCATTTGCTGCTGCCGCTGGATCTCCGACATTGTTGCAAAGAAGCGCAGGCAGTAGCTCAGCACCGTGTGAAACAGCTTGCGCAGTGTCAGGACCTCCAGGGCTGAGGCACAGCGAGTGTATTGGGGGCAATTGGGGGATAGGTTCAGAAAAGGCATGACGACTTACGATTATGGATCGGGGGATGTGGACCTGAAGCGGATACCGTGGGATACAGTGCGATGAAGGAATGACATTACGTTTTAGCGATGGGGCAAAGGGCTTTCATTACGAGGCTGCGGCGCCCGCGGAGGGCTTGAGGGAGACCGCGGATCGTCCGAAGCCCCCTGTGTCGCGCTGCTGCGCACTGCAGACACCGTGCCTTTGCCGGAGAGAACACCTGTGTGTAACTCCTTCCGCACGGTTGCAGTCCCCATCCCCGCATTCCGCCTACCAGGGCCCACCCCTGGCCCACATCTCGACATCTGCATCGGCACTAGAAGGTGAGGAGAGCACCTACCAGGCACCTGCGTCATGGCGTCCATCTGCCTGAGGACCAGATGCACACCCCGCTCGCTGGTGGCCAACGCCGCCATGAGCTGCAGGAACGGCACGCGGACCTGCAGCGACATGATCCCAGAAAGGAGAGGAAGGGCGAACATTCGGGTGGCAACATGGCAAAGGGGAGACATCGGAATGGCCGCAAGCGGAGGACAATGCACACACATCGCAACCCAATCCGTTTCGCGGAAACTCATGGACACATGATACATGATGCTCAGTGGAAAAGCCAAACAAGTTTAAACCAACAAAAATGAAAATCCTACGCACACATACATATACAAGTAGAGAACTTAAGTTGCCTGTCCCAGTCGTTTGAAGGAAATCCCTCCACACTTGCCTCCGGCGACGTCCTCATGATGTTGTTGTTGATGGACCGGTCCAAGAACTCCTTGACGGGCCGCTGCCCTGCCTCCTGGTCCGCCAGATTGGCCAGGTAAAGCTCAGGAAAGGCCTCAAAGCAGTCCGCCAGCACCCCCAACAGGCTGCCCACGTGGTCAGAGCGGGACTCGGGCGCCTCGGCCGGGAAGGGCACGTAGGTCAGCTGCGCGTGGCCGCCGTGTGTGGTGGGTCGGATGGCGGCCTCGGAGCGGTGCAGAAGCTGCAGATAGAATCTGCGGCGGGGATGGGAGCGACGACGTGCGGGGAGAAGAGGAGGGGATGTTTCGGTGCAGGAGGACGGAAAGAAAACACGCAATACCAGACAGCTGCATATATCAGGTCTCGCCCCGAGTGGCAGAAGCCGGATGTTTTAGGGGAGGGGGTAAGAACATAGCACTGGAGCTCTCACTGTCCTCTGCTGCACACCAACTTTCCCTTTCCCAAACTGTAGCCTCCCAGCAGACGCAAGCCACCTTCAACCCTTCCTCCCCAACCGCCAACAACACCATCCGCCCCACCGCGCTGATCTTACGCGTTTGAAGTCCGCTCCCCGTCCGTCCGCAGCAGCGTCTGCACCACGTGATGTATGACACCAGCGACCACGTGGTGGTGCGTCTGCTCGTCCAACTTGAAGTGCGGGTGCTGGAACACCTGCCGCAGAAAGGTGAAGGAGCCCGCCTTCAGCGCGTCACGCACCCCCACCACACCGTCCTGGGGCCCCGCCTGAGAGCAGATGGCTAACAGGCCCCAGCACAGCCGCAGACTTGCGCTGTATCCCGCCTGGCCGACTGTTGGGTCAGGCAGGGGAGGGTAAAGGGCGACGTGTGTTTTCAGCTGTGCGTGTAAGGGACAGTGTGATGGGCAGAGCGACAAGGGGAATGTGGGAAACAGGCAACGCAATTACGGTGGGCTGTATGTGTTTGGCGCGGGAGTGGTACCTTGCAAGGTCAGGCGACAAAAAAGGTCGTTGCTAACCCTTTCATAATACGCACTGTCTGCAGAAAATTTACGTAAAACTCCCTTCACTCTCCCAGCTCACCGCAAGCTATTTGCAATGTTAGCCATCCAGCCCAATCCAATTCTCCCCATACTTCACATTTTCCAGCGCTCCAAGAAACAAACAAAGCTCCACACCCCGCCTTGCACCGTCCCCGCAACAACTCACCCGCCTCCACCTTGGACCTCGTGCTCTGCGCCAGCTCCTGCAGTGCCCCCTGCTGGAAGTTTCTCCCCTCGTGGGGCAACAGCACGCTACAGCAGGCCAGCAGCACCAGCTGACATTCCTCCACCAGGAAAAGGTCCCCAGAGCCTGAAGGAGGAAACCAAGATAACTCAGTTAATGCTCAGCGAAACACACAGGACCGCACACAGCGCATGAGCCACACGTATCGGCGCAGGCGGACCTCAAAACTTGCCAAAAGCAAGGAGCGAAAAGGCCCGCTGTGACGCCCAACACCATTATATTTTCCACGCCGCGCGGGGCAAACACAGCTGCCATTCACCCCTGCCTTCAAGCCAGCCCTACCTGTTCCACCCAGCCGGCTGAGCAACCCCGATAACAGCTCCAGAAGCTCCACCGCTACTGCGGGCGCCACGTGGGGATCCCGAGCGCAGCAGTAGAGCAGGCAGCGGGCCGCCTCGCGGCGCTCCCGCTGCAGCAGCAGGGTGCGCGCCACCGGGTTGCCGGCCTCATCACGGACCACGGGCAGCGCCGAGTCTGGGCGGGGCTCCAAGGAAGTGTCCTGTGGCCGCAAGGGGTGTAAATGAGCCAGAAGCGCCGAGGTTGGGAACGCAGGCGCTCAGTGTGTAAGCTATGGGTTAGGTTCTCGCAGCATGGGAAGAGAAAGCGGGATCAAGGGATCAATCCACGTCGGATGCCTCGGTTGCGACCAAACAGCAAGTTACTCCCTTCTACACCCCCAACCGCTCTCACGGCCTCTGTAGTAGAGGTCAAAGCAACGCAGCACATATGACACCCCTCGACTTGTCACACTCTACCTGCCACCTGAGGAGCTGCTCCCTCCCGGCTCCTCACGTACCCCCCCAGGTAAGCGCTGATTTCATCCTAAGCCCAAACCCAGCCCAGCAGATACCCCCTTGAGCGTCCTCTCACCCTAAGGATGGTAACCAAGCGGGCCACCAAGATCTGCTTGCCGGGGGGGTCCTTCTCGCCCAGCAGCTCGCTCACATACGAGGCGATGGCCTGCACGGCAGGGAGCAGCTTTAAAATGGCTGCTTGATAACCATAGCAACACGCGCGAGCACATTAGCTACCTTAGGGGCACTACAGCTACTAGGGAAGGCCCCAGTGCAAGGAGAGGGCCAAGGCACACACCTCGGCTGCGTTATGCGGCAAGGCTTGCTGACAAGGCCTATGCTCGTCAGCTTGTGCAGGACAACAACCAATCAGGAAGATCAGAGACGGGCGTCGGTACCTGTGCATGGGGCCTGCGCTGACCCACGGGTCCGCCCGCGTGGTGTTGCGCGTGCTGCAGCTTGGCATCCTCTGCCAGCAGCCTCGCGAGGCAACGCAGCGTCACCTGCCGCTCCTCCAAGTACAGACCTGCCGCGTACTCGGCGCCAAAGACACCGCGCTGTTCCAGGAGCGGGTTGGGGTGACAAAGACAACTAAGAAAGAAGTTTCCTAGGACATAGGGTTCAACCACAGGCTGAATACGCGGAGCACAGCCCCGCAGGTAGTGGGTGAAATGCTGTATCCCGTTACGGGCTCGCTGAGGCCGTTCAAGATACCCTCGGCACTGAACAGTGGATCAAACTGCGCATATGGAAAAACTGCACCTATGACTCCTCGATTATACGGTCATCCATTGTGCTTTTTCTCTCCGTGGCCTTCTCACTGGTTTTCCCCACTATGTGCGTCTTCTTACAGCCCGCCCCACACCCCTCACTAGTGTGCGTGCCGTTCTCCCCACCTCCTCAAGAGCCGATGTGAGATATTCGACGCACAGCACTTCGTCGAGCCGCAGCTCGTCGCTAAGGAGCAATGCCTGGCATAGCAGGGGTTAGGAGCAGGCAGTGGACAATTAGATAAGACGAGGCCAACCGTGCGAGAAGGAAAGAGGTTGTATGTTTTTGAGGAAGACATAAAACTGAGGCATCCATGCGCACTGAAACCTCTCGTCAATGCGACATTAAGTTGCTTGACAGAGCTGGCTGCCATGCTCTGCTTCTAGTGGGGACTAAAGAGATATCTGTCGTGGCTGCGGAAGTGGCAGCTGCGGCAGCAGTGGTGGGAGCAGCTGGATTGTGGTTTCCCAGATGTCAAGTATGCTTCCGCAGGTCCCATTTGTCGATGCCGAGTCACCCATAACGTACGTCTTACGGCACCGGTGGCTTAGGCCCATGACTGGGGGATACAATGAGAGCACACGAATCCCGGGAACAAGGAGGCTCTCCCAGATTGGGGGAAACGCGTTGACTTCCCTGGCCGTGAGGGCGTCGCAAACAAAGGAACGGCTGCATGGTGGGGAAGAGTACCCTGGATCCCAGGCCTTAACATGAGACATGACACCTTCGCGTGCAGTGAAAGGCCCACGCTTTTGCGCTGTTCCCCCTCCCCCCAACAAGCGCCCATCCTCCCAATTGGCGACGATCAGGGGCTGCCACATGCTTTACAGTGCATTGCGCATTGAGACTCACCTGTTGCACATCCGGAACTGGGTCAAGCTCCTGCACGCCGTACTTCGCTGTCGTGACCTTCCGCTGCTGCACTTGCCTACGCGACTCCGTTGACGGTCCCTGCGGAGCCAGGTGCAGATTTCATGCGCCGCCTTGCACGGTGCCACTTCCGCCACGTCCGGCGTGCGCCGGTTTTGCGCCGCCACACGGCTGCGCGCCAAACGGAACATTACTGCTCTAACCTTGAGGTCCAAAAGATGGAGAAATCCATCTTTATACTGCTGCAGGTACAAAAGGACCTCATCGCTGTCCACAGAGCTCGCGTCTTCCAAGTTCAGCAAGAGTTCCAAGAGTGCCGAGTAGTCCATCTCCAACCCGGCTACGCTCTCAGGCCTGCATTACACAGTAGCTATCTAGTTGCTCAGTTGAATCCTTCCTAAAACAATGCACGTCACTGTCTTGTCTTCCCCCTCAGAATGAAAAAGATCAATTTGATATAGGAGCAACTCCCATCCCCCGATATTGCAGTAGATATAAGTGAAAAGTCAAGAAATGATGTTAGGTGACCGTGACGGCTTGTCCGTTCTCTGCAGCTGACGTGATTGCCGCCATGCGGTAATCCCGCCCATCCGATGTCCGTTAGGTTCAGCACGGCAGGGTGATGGGTTTTATACTCTAAGAGAACTAATCCTGTAATAATAAATACACATTTGGAACAAAATGTTGCTTCCGGCTGCTCAACGTTTTGCTTTGTGCAACACCTTCCTTCTGAAGTGCACTCCGGGCCTTTCGTCCACCGCAGCTAGGGCCATGTCCTCAGGCGCTACGCCGCCTCCTGATGTAGACAGGAAGGGAACTGCGGACCTGACGGATAAATACATGCCTGACCCTGTCGATACTGTGTGCACGCGCTCGGTGCAAGTCGTTACGCCCAACCTTTTCAGGTACTAAGGCCAAAAAAGCAATGTATACAAAAGTTCAACGCCTAGGGCTTGACTTTTCTTGCCTGATGCTGCTGCTCCTCAGCTCAGCGATGTCCCCAAACCCTGCATTTTACTCCTCTTTTTCACCTGCCGATAACCCCTTACCTGTGCACCCTCTCTCTTGCTTTTTTCCATTCCACTCAGGGACTTCGGCGGCAAGCTGCGCTTCAGTGGCCAGGCATCCACCGTCAAGTGCTATGAGAACAACCCTCTGGTTCGCAAGGTACGAGGCTCATTATTGCGGGGTCCTCCCTCCCTGTTCAGCCCCCTTCTATTTTAAGTCAAGCCGTTCTCCCCTTCCTTGGGCGCGGCCTGCCTGCTCCTGTCCGTTGTGTGAGAGAAGGGGCAGGACAGGGGATCCAAGCTGTCGGCAAGGAACTTGGCTGGGCTGGGCTGGGCCGAATTGAGGTGGTCTAAAGAACCTAGACTTGTGCTCTGTATTCATGGCCCAGCGGGGAAGAATGCATGGGAGTTGCAGCCCGGCTAGTTTAGGCCCTGTCCCTGCGTTGGCTCTTTTCCCATCCACCAGCACCAGCCAATCGGCTTATCACACAGCAACATCCTCCTCGCTGCCTGGGTCGCCGTCTTGATGAACACCCCGCATCTGAACATGGTGCTTGCTTGCCTGCCTGCCTGCCTGCCTGCCTGTCTTCCCTTTTCGTGTCCTAGGCGCTGGAAGAGCCGGGCAACGGGAGAGTGCTTGTGGTGGACGGGGGCGGTTCGCTGCGGTGCGTACAGGGAAAGGGGGCATCGTGCCAGCTTTCCCTCCCTCTCCGAATCTCTGTCAACTGTCACCCCAGCCCAAATGCCATCCCACTCACACCTCCACCGCTGCTGCTACCGCCGGCCTCCCTCTTCCTACCTACGGGCCCACAGATGTGCTCTGCTGGGCGACATGCTGGCTGAGAACGGTGTCAAGAACGGCTGGTCGGGCATTTTAGTCAACGGCTGCATCCGGGACTCGGCGGACATTGCCAAGATGCCGCTGGGCGTCAAGGCACTGGGCACGCACCCGCTCAAGTCATCCAAGCGCGACCCCGGCCAGCGCGACGTGCCTGTCAGTTTCGGTGGCGTCACCGTCTCACCCGGGGACTGGGTGTATGCGGACGGGGACGGCATTCTGGTCTCCAAAGAGGAGCTCACGCTGTAGCGGCTCGTTCGGGGTTTCGGAGCGCATACTCTTGACTGGAGCGTTGTGAGCAAACTGGTATCGTGGTGCATGCTCGTGGGCGTGCGCGCAGATGGTATACGGGTTTGTGTTGAATGAATGTGGTACGGGATGGTTTGAAAAGAGAGGTATTTGGTTGTGGGGTTTTCCTGTCTGTCTGTCTGTCTGTCGTTATTTCTTTTGTTGCTTGAGCGAGTGCTCGCGCACGTTTTTCCATAGCAGGCTGAGATGAGTTAGGTCTTCGTGGCTTGTGGCATGGCTTCAAGGTTTTTTATCTGCTGCCGCGGTTTTGTTGGTGTGAGCTTGACCTGAGAGGCGTGGTGTTGCGCTGCGAGCTATTTCTTGTTGATGGGTGTAGTATACCTATATAATATATATCTTGAGTTTTTTGCACTGTTTTGTCGTCGCTTTTTTTCTTCTCGGGAGCAGTGCATTGTTTGGTTGTACCTCGGCCGAGGGCATTCCGTGCAAAGATATCGCCCAGTACGACATGGTGGAGGCTTTTTACGGCTGGATTCTTCCTTCGTAGAGTTTTAACTTCAAGAGCGGCTTTTCCTCGAACTTTTCCTCGTCTTCCACGTACCCTGAATGACAATAAATATACAAGAAAAACCTCTGCTTTCCCCCTCCCGAACTGCTACTCGGCAACTCGAACGAAGGTGGAACGCATGTTAGCAGGGTAAGCCATATCCAGAACGTATCAAACTATTTTGCTCTGCATTCTGTTGTGAGATGAACTGGAAACCAACTGGAAACCAACACATCAACGTCCGGGCCGCATCCGGAGTGTTCCAAACCCCCAAAAAGCGATGCATTATATGTTTCCCAACTCCATACCCTGGACAAAGCTCCTCACGCACCTGCACAATGCCCGTACATACTTAATGCCCGTCATGCTTACAATTGCAGCTTTCTCCGCTTCGCAGCTCCCAAACCCCCTGAATTTTACGTGCTGCTGTGGTGGCAAAACACACACCTGCGGAGCAACTCCCGGGCACCTCCCGCCGCGTGCGCCCCGCACACTCCACAAAACATCCTCTCAATATTTATACAATCCGGGTTAGAAATCGCAGGCGCACTGCTACGGCCTACCAGTCTATGTAGTCGAATGAGTTCGACATAACGTTTTTTTCTTCTCTCATGTTGAGTGTTCGGATAAAATTTACCTTTTGCGTGTTTTAACCACTTTGGGCAGCCCAAGACTTGGCCTTGGGCCTCCGGCTCGTATGGACCCCTAGGTTACACCTTCGGCGGGTAATAGCAATGCAACTCCTCACGAGGTGCAAAAAAACACACCGTGCACATGTAGCTCACGACGTCCCAAGAGTATGCAGGGCATCGCGCCACAGGCCCACGGCCCCTACCACCCGCGAAAAAGAAATCACGAAAAGAACAACGAAATAATGGCTTCATTAAAGCCTATCATCAAGTATCTCGATTGTTGGTTTGCCAAGCAAGCAACCTTCACGGCTGGTTCCTACAGTAGCGGCCCCGGGTTGCTCGCACCGGCTTGGCGGCTTCCCAGCCGCCACGGTTCCCGGGAAGTTAACAGAAGACATGGAGTTACCCAACTAGGAAAAAACGTCATCCCTCGCGTACATCCATAAAGGCACTTCGGCTTCTGCCACAATCCTATTTCAACCTATTAGTTCCTGCAGCATCAGAACTTAGCTTTCTATGACCCGACCCAGCACCATATCTCCTGCCTACAACACAACGGACAACAACGCCCGCCGCGTCGCCTGTCTACGCCATTGCCGACCATCCGTATGGCCACTCGCTGCCCCACCTTTGGCATTTCCATCGGCATCATCAGCCACCCGCATTGAGGCCGGTGATTGCCGACTAGCTGTACACCTGCGCTTAACAGCCAGGCGTCCTAAACCGCGATGTCCAAAGGCCCCTCCGCCACCATTGTACCCCCCCACGCAAAACCACGTTTTCCTTCAGGTCGCTGCTTGCCGATCCCACCCGAAGGCCCTTCGACACGGGCTAACACCGCCAGGGGCCCTGCGGAGGAGGCCCCACGCTGGGGGCGGCGGCGGCAACAATACAGCACGCCCATGTATTGATTACCGTGTCAGCTGGGGAGTGACGGCGGTGGCAGCTGTGGCGATGGCAGCGGCTGCTGTTCCGGCTGGGTTGACGGCGGCAGGTGTTGCTGCAGCTGCGGTGGCGGCGGCGAAGGCAGAAACGTGGCAGCCAGCAGCGCTTCCACCGGTGGCGCCGGCGCCGCCACTGCCGGCCACTCCGACGGGTCATCGCCGGCGGGGTCTTCCCCGGACATTTGCAGCAGCAGCGGCTGGTTCAGCAGCAGCTGCGACTGCAGCTGCTCTTCGTCTATGTTCGCCGGCGCAGCAGCTCCGACGTCTTGCAGCGGCGGCGGGCTTTGTTCCATCAAACCCCGCTCGCTGTGGCGCGCCGTGCTCACCACACCGGACGACCGCCCCAATGCCATGGACACCGAGGTACGGGTGAGCTGACCTGGCGGGGCGCCGCCGTGAGGTACGAAAGCGGCCTGCTGTACAGAGACAGTGGGCTGGCGGGGAGACTCTACATCCCCCGAGGCCATGTCGGTCCTTACAGACCCATTGCCAACAAGTCGGTTGACGATGCGGCCCGCCAACCCCCTGCTAATGGTACCCGACATGGGGCGGCGAGTTAGGCCAGCAGCCTCTGGTGCTGCTGCTGCAGCCGCTGCTGCAGCCGCTGCGGCGCCCGTCGCACCGCACGCCGCCGGCGTCGTCGCCCTGCGTGAAACGCCGCCTACGCCGCTTGCGCCGTACACCAGTGCGGTGAAGGGCGCCGCCACAGGCCAGGGCTGTCCGTACACTGGCGCCAGTGTCGTGTCGCACGGCGTGCCCACCGTCGCTGCCCCCGCATCCATGTCCCCGGAGCTCTCCCTCTGTCCACTACGGAACCGCCGCCTTAGCCTCTGCTGGCCTGCTGGCGAACTGCTTCTGCCTCCGGTACCCGGTAGGACCTCGCCTGCATCTGCTTCGGTAAGTACCCTGGGGAATAGGGGTCTACGGCCTCCCTGGCTTTCACCCACGGCAACAAGGGCGGCCGCACCGCTGGCCATCCCCGCGCCGCCATCGGGCCCCCGGCCGTGGGCCGCCGGGTCCCGCCGGCTGCCCTTCGGGCCGTCGCCGCCGTGGCCATCGGCCGCCAGTGACGCTGCAGGTTGGGAGGTCTCTCCTTCCGAGGCGTGTTGCTGCCCATCTGCGCTGCCTGGCGACGGCGCCTCTGCGGCAGCGCGACCGCTACCAGTGCTGCCAAGGCTGACGCCCTGGTGGAGGCAGCTGCGTTCACTGTAACGCCGCTGCTGCCGCTGCTGGTCGAGTGGTGCCGTCAGCGCAGGCGCCGCCGCAACCGCTGAATCCCTGCCGTCGCTGGAGAGGCGCAGATCGCGGGAGAGGGTGGCCACGCCAATGCTGCCGCCTGTCTCGGGCGACAGTGCCCGAACTGGACCCAGCTGCGACTCCTGACGGGGACCCGACGGCAGCGGCACATCGCCGCTGCTGCCGTACAGATGACCTGCTCGACCGCCGGCGGCCATGGCCCCGGCGATATTCCGCTCATCAATGTACGGAGCCAGTGAGGTGATCCCATCCTCGCGGGATCCGCCCAAGCTCCTCCGCCGCCACTGCGACCGCTGCGGCTCCTTCGACTGCTGCAGCTGCTGCGTGAGCGGTAGGCCCCCAGCCGGTGGCCGGCGCTCAACAGCCCCAGCCCCCAATCCATCCTCTAAAGAGGCCCAGTAGGGGATCTGGTTCGCGGTCGAAGGGGCCCCCGGCTGCTGATCCACCGCGGTGGACGGTGTGATTCTGCCGCCGCAGCCCCGCTCGTCGCCGCCGTCGGCGTGATCGCCTGCGCCGCCGCCGCCGCCGCCGCCGCCAGGCCGCCCCTCCCCCGGCTCCGTCGTCCGCGCCAGCGTTGCTTGCAGCTGCGCCTGCTCCCTCTTCGCCAGGTCGTATGCCGCCTTGTAGGCGTTGGCGGTTGTGACGTCGGTGCGGGTGACAAGGCCGATGATGGGGATGTTGGGCGCCGTCACGAAGATGTGGTGCAGACCAAGACCGCGGAACAGCTGGTAGGTACGCGCCAGGGAGGCAGTGGCGGGAACGATGTACGGTACACGCTGCAAGCGGGATGGTTGATAAGGACGTGGGGGGTTGGGTGGGTTGTAAGGGGGCCAGCAGCAGCAGGCAGGGAGGATGGGACCACCAAACTGACCATCTGGCCACCTGACCACCACCTTACCTGCATGTAATGCCGCAGGTCCAAGTACGTGGCCATGTCTCCCGGACCCAACCGCGCGAACAGCGCCTCCTCGCCGGCTCGGTCACTAGGGGCCTTGGCAGGGTAATTGTCCAGAGCATCCATCAGGCGCTCGGCTCGCTCCCTGCTCATGGCGGCGCGGCGGCCAGTCAGCCAGGAGGGGCCGCCCGCGGGGCCGCTGCAGCTGCCGGCGCCCTTGCTACCGCCATTAGCCGAGGTGCTGGACAGCGCCCGCCACGTCCTGGTGTTCAGCTCTAACTGCATCTCTAGAAGCTTCAACAAGACGCTGCGGCTAATGATACCGATCATGACGCCGCCGCCGCCCCCGCCGCCGAGCTCCGCCGGCATTTGGTCGGCTGGTGAAGCCGACGGCTGCAGTTCAACGACTGAGGCGGCGGTGACGGCGGCATGGCCGCCGCTGTTCACGTTGCTGGTGGCAACGTCACCTTCGCCACTGCACGCCGACGCCATCCCTGCCGTATTTCCCGTGTGCTCCGCCCTCGACGCCGCCAGCGGCGGCAATGCCAGCGGCGACGGCGCCGACGCTGTCCGCCGGCAAGGAGCACCCGCGCCACCCGTCTTCAAACCGCCCCCCGACCGTCCACCGCTATTCCACCCTAACCCCGGCGACTTGTTTCCGCCGCCGCCCATGACCCGGAGAACCTCCGAAGAAAGCGCTCCAGGCATGGCCGCGGCCGCGGCCACCACTCCCCCGGCGAAGGCCGACAGAAAGGTCATCCTGCTGGGCGGCTGCAGGTAGCGCGGCAAGATGGAGGGACACCACAACACACCCGGCTGGGGCGACGGTGACGGTGCCACGGAAGCCGCCGGCGTCGTCGTCGTCGTCGTCGTCGAGGTGTCCGTAGGCCCGACCTGGCGGCCTGCATCAGCTACGGCGGCTGTGGCGGCTGCGGCGGCAGCGGTGCATGTAGGCTGTACGGAGGATGTGGCGGCAAGTGATCGGAATTCCGCCACCGGTCTTTTCCTGGAGCGTGTGGACGGATTCCCAGGCGCCAACCCGAATGGGATCGAACCCCCGGATAGCGGAGACGACGGCGAGGTGGCTGCTCTGCAGGGACCAACCGGGTCGCCGCTGGCGGGCGGTGTCGCGGCGCCCTGAGGGCTGCTCCTCCCCCGGAACGGGAAGCGGGGAAACGACCTGGGGAGTTCGCGTGGAGAGCCACCTGTGTTTGTGTTTGTGTCGGTCACTGATGCATTCTCGGCGGTGCGGTGTGCGGTGTCGTCGTCCGGGAGCCCGCCCCGGCAGTGGTGAACTGGGTTGGGAGGGCCAGGTGCCCCTGGAGCGGGCGTTACGGCTGGATCCGGCTGGGGCCTTCCAGCACCAGATCCAGTAGCAGCAGTCGTAGCAGTAGCAGTACCAGTACCAGTAGCAGCACTGGTAGCTGGCAGGGGCTCGGTCAGCGGGAAGGTCGAGAAGTTGGGATACCTAAAGGGGAGATGGAGGGCGGGCCGGGGGGGCGGCCGGGGATGTGTGAGATTATGCCTGCCGGTAAGGTCCCAGAAGAGGACTCCAACCGCGGAGGGGTAGGCTGCTCCAACAAAGGAGGGGAAATGCGGATGCGCAGAGTCATTGGCTGTGGGACGAGACCTATGGAACATGGAGAAAATCCTCTATAACTCTCAGAATAGGACTCGACAGCTCATGGGCTAAGTCAGTACGGTGGCTGGTAACCCTGCCCCTCTCTTGCAAAAGGAGGGGAAGTCGTCAGTGTTCTACTTCCTTGACTTGTGCATCTATGAGCCCTGGCCCCCTCCTCCCCCTCCCGATGGGGAGCCACTCGCCGCCTCAGTTGCTCCACTAGGTGCCGTACGGGGAGTACGGCAGGCAGTGCGGCAATCTGGCGGCTCATCACGTCGCCCGCCGTCAGCGCGTGTTGCAGTTTGGTGTCGGTTAGGTTGGTTAGCTCCGACTCCAGGTAGGGGTAGCCGGCGCGCTGGATGGCGAGGTCGAATATGCCGACGGGGGTGAGCAGGTCGGCAACGGCCTGAGCGAGGAAAGCGGGGGAAAGGGGGTGGGGGAAAGACGGACCACGAACGAGTGAAGGGGGAACGAGGAAAGGGGGGGTCGGGGGAGCGACATGGAGACGATGGATCCCAGTGCAGCTGCTGTAGCTCGCCCGCCACCGGCCTTCGCGCTGTACGCACCTTTGCAATGAAGGTGGCGACGATGAGCGGCATGATGAGCGAGGTGGCAGCCGCAGTCTCCATCACCAAGACGGTGTTACACAGCAACATGCGACTCACACCGCCCAGCACGCTGCCGGCTCCAACGATGGCATACGCGCCGAGACCTGTGTCGTACACCCACATGGGAGCCCATGCCGTATTCTCCGTATCGATACACATTTTTAACCAACATTTATAACCCCCGCCGAAGTCACCGCGCCTCCTCGCCCACGAGGCCCCATGGCCCTGTGCCTCACCTCCGTTGATAGCCCGTGCGATTTTGCTTCTGCTATTACTATTTCTGACAGCACTAGACGCTGGGAACCCAGATCCCAGCTGATATAATGCCGATATAATGTTCTCTAAGTACCGCATTCCACTTACAAATGTTGATGACGCCGGTGCCGTCATCCTTTTGATAGCCCAGATGCAACATGATGGTGCGAACCAGGCGGCCTACCAGCCGCCCCCCCGCACCGCCGACAAGCAGAGACGGCACGAAGAGACCCGTCACGGCGCCGATGCCGAAGGTGACCGACATAAACAACCAGCCTGCGGGAGAGGGGGTCGTGCGGTGGGGAAGGGGGAAGGGGGAAGGGTATGTGTGGAGGAGCCATGTGCGTAATGCGGAAGGGGTGGGGAAGAAGAGGGAAGGGGGGAAGGGGCGTCCCCCTTCCGGTCACTGCCCCATGCCGTGCGTGCCTGCGTGTGTCTTTTCGCCACGAGCCCCAACGACCTTACCCAGGGCGAACAAACAGACCAGCGCGCCGATGTTGTAGATGAAGGAGGCGCCGTTAGGGAGCTGCGGGCAGCGGAAGGTAGGAGACCCATGTATGCGCGCGGGCGAGGGGAATCGAACTGGGGACTTACCGGCCACTGCTCTCAATGTTGGCAGTTGGTTCCAACTCAGAAATCTCGGTTGGGAATACAAGAGGCATTTTTAAACCTAACGCCACACACTGCCACCACCACATGCGAAAAAAATCTGCTGGGTACGGCCCCCTCCTCCCTCCCTTCTTCCCACCATTAGGGCTCGCCTGGGCGAGGAGAAGGAAGGAGGGGCTTGGGAGCTCAACCTGGGGCACTTGCCTGGTACTGGAAGAGCATGGTGATGGAGGTCATCTGCGGCATGAAGAACAGCATGCCGTACTCGCTGTAGCGGCCGTCAGGACACCACAGCTGCGAAAACTCGGAGTTGCAGA